AATAAATGAGAGTCACAAAAAATACCTTCTCAGCTTTACATCGAAGCTAAAACCTAAAATATAGTAAAATAATTTTAATATGAATAAGAAATTTCTCCTCGCGAGGGTCGACTACAGTGATGGGATCCTTGATTTTTATTGAAGTTATTGAATCTAAATGAGTTTGAAATTTATTCTAACTTAAAAAATATTAAGAAAAAAATGCAAAAAATTCTTTGACATAGGCGGTTTGGTACTTTGTACCCCAAGCGCGTAGGGCACAAGTGTTACCGACTCGGCAACCGTATGTAGTTTTTGTCGAGTGAAATAAATGGCAATTTAAGTTAGTTCAATTTTCAAAGTTAATTATCTCGACTTAAAATAAGCAACAAAATTTAAATAAGTTTAACTGTCTATGCTATATCAATTTGATTTATATAATATTTATGAAAATCAGTGTACTTGTCAGGTATTTTAAAATAAAATAAATAAATAATATAAATATATAATAATAAATAAAATAAAATAATAAAATACAAAACCCAGAATTTTAACACAAAAATATCATATTTTCGAATACGGTAGTCATTTTCACCATGAAGACAAGTCCAGAGGTCAATTTTTTTTTTCAAATTAAAGTATATTACATAACCTTTAATTTAAGGTATATATGAAAGTGTCAGTCTCATATAAAAACTAAAAAATTAAAAAAAAACTCATCATAGTAACATTAATACCTTCCTGCTTTGCATCGAAACTAAAATTGACTATAATTGAAGTATGCTTTTGTTAAAAGGAGTAATCGAAATTTAAAAAAAAAATGTCTAAAATAACAGAAAAGAAATACTAAAAGAATAGAGCACTAAGGCACTTGTGTGTAAATTGGTATACTAATTAGTTAAGATAGATAGAATCTATCTTTTAAGTTATAAAAGAATATGGATTTAAGATGTCTATATAATTTATTATTAAATAAGACGAAGAAAATGACTTAATTAATTCTTTCTCAGTAAATTAAAAAATTTAGCAAACAAAAAGTTTCTATATATCCTAAGTTTTTGATTGTGTATGTATTTTGAATTGTTTGGCCTAAAATTGAAATTTTCATTTGATATCATGGACTTTAATTTTTCATCAAAGTACTCAGTTTTATCCGAAAATCAGAGCAACACTTTATGTACTTTGCGCTTAAATTACACTTGGTCTAAAAGGGTAAGTATCAGTCACAAAGAGTCATTGATGGAATCTTTGATCTTGTCAAAGAAATTACGAATAGGCACTCTCGCAACTGAGATGGTTGGCGAGGAAAAAGAACTGAAGAAATATAATATTAAAACTCTTTCTTTTTCTTTTGTGATGAGGATGTACCTTTGTAACGAACAACTCAGTTTCACTTTAAAATATACTTAAATATCGGACCAAGTGCATACTTCGACACTAAAGTACAAAGAAAACATATTTTCACTTTGATTGGAGTTAGTAGAAGTGTCCAATAGTTTAATTTACAATTCTTACAAACAAAAAAGTTTAAAGTGCATGAATATAAGATAAGATTAATAATACGGAGTCAAATTTATTTTAATGAATTTCGTTTAACTGTGTTGGTAATTTTGAAAGTAGAGAATTAATTTTTTTAAAATTAGTTTTTCTGAAGTTCAAATGGAAAAATATATGTTTAAATAAATTATAATAAAATAATAATGATCTAATTAAGAAAATTTTCAGTCGATAACAACTTTTGTAGCTCTATTTAAAAAAAAAATTAGCATTTTTAAATTATGGCAGGAGGTGTAGTGCGTTCATAAAAGCCATATTTTTTTTTATATAAATAGACAGAGTCACACTTAACCTTCAGTTATTATATTTAAGTGTTGATTTTGAAAAACTGGTTCCAATTTCATGAAGATTAATCATTTTTTTATTTTAAGATGGTTAAACACATATGTTAAAAAACAAAAGTCAAAACAATTTCAGTAACGAAACAGATGATAGGACCAAATAATTTTTTGAAGATCATAAAACCTATGATAACTACTAATTTCTGAAAAGAAAATTTTATAATATATTTCATACTGTTAATGATATTGTGTTAAGAGTAGTTAAATAATTATTCTGTATACTTCCAAAATTATTTTCGTGATAGTAATATAATATATCTATAGATTTACACAAATAAAATTTTATTTGATATACTTTTCTTTTTGTTGGGTTGGATTGGGTCTCTTTTGGGGTGTTTTTTTGTGAAATAACATTTTGTTATTGGCATTGAATTGGGTTTTAAGTCCCAGAGCTCATCAGGTTTATCTAGTCGCCATGTCCGTTGTGTATAACTTTTTTAAAAATCCATTTACTTTAAACCCATATATGTGTCAAGTAATAAAAAAATCTTAGTAAAAATCTGAACTTTTGCAAAAAGGACACATAAATGTATTTTACGTTTTCAAAACTCAATTCAGGCTTAAAATAGTTTAAAATTAAATATTTACTTCTTGTATAAGACTATGTTGTTTTTAACTAGTGATGGGAAATATCGAATAGTTACTATTCGATAGTCATTCAAAATCTTATATTACCATGTTGTACCATTATGTTAACCATTGTAATGGACTAGTTTTTAAAACTATTTGATTCGAATGTTATTCAAACTATTCGATAGTTGATGCTAAAAACAAAGTATTGAGTTGTATAAAAAAAATTCAAATAATATTGGACAGTTTAAAATATTCGAAAATGTCCATCACTATTTTTAACACCTCATATTTTTTTCGACTTCGTATTTTTTCGTTAATATTCCCATTTTATTTTTATAAAGTTAAACTTGCTTTCAAATGTAATTGGAAATGAGGGGAGACTCCAAATTGGCTCTACTCGTGTGTTTAATTCCGTGCATGCATATTTAATTATACGCTTGCATAGTGCACTTGTGTGCGAATGGTGGCGTAGGTTCGAGTTAATTTTTCAGCAAACAAAATTATAAACGGCCTGCCAATTGATGTAATTGTATGGCAAGCGAATTGGAAAACAATTGCTAGGACAACAGTGCCAATTAATCGAAAATGATAAATTTTCTCTTCAGCTCGGTTATGGTCTTTTTTGAACTATAAATCTTCCACAAACCGGAATTGTCCGTGGCTTCAGTCGTATGGCCAGGCGGAGTGCCAAGTAAATATATACAGTAGAACTATACTGTGGAGCACAAAATTGGATTGGCCTGTTGCTCGTTGCCATCAGTTGTTAATGGTCTCGTGTATGTTTGCATAGAAAAGTGCGTTAGTAACATTATACCTTTATGAACATAAGCGAAAAGCTATCTTAAATTACACTTTCACATTACGCGATGGTGTTATAAGTTAAGGAAATCTCTAGAGACAAAGAAAATTTCAGGGGTTATTGAAACTTTTCCCACGTCCAATCGTTAGATCACAAATTTGATTATAGCTCGCATTGACTAAAACATACTTTTAAGGCATATAAATGAAGAATGATGTAATATTCTGACTGGAAACGATATAAAGTATAAATTAGACGCCAAAAACGAGAAAAAAATATTTGTCAGTTATACTACTTATGCACAAATTTATGATTGTATTATGAAAATGTATATTGAAAAAAATAATATTTAATATAATTTTATTGTGTTCATAAAATGCCTCGATATCATACCATCATGAATTTTTAACGTACTTACTTTTGGTCTTATTTGATAAAAATACAAAACAATAATTATTTTATGTTCAAACTTTTTTTTTAACTTTGATGAGAAGCTGAGAAGGTATTAATTTTACTATTATATGTTTTTTTCGTGTGTGTGTTTCGCCACTTTTTCTCAGCTCTTACTGGACAGATTTCTTTCAACAATACGTCAAAATATCACAAATCGTATCTAGTTGATTCCCTTAAAAATTGAAAATATTTCCTCGTTCCTTATAAATGTGAGAAATCCCCAAAAAAGTTACGATTTATAAAATCGGTAAATTTTGATAATTTTTAAACTTTTGTTTTCTTAAAACTACCATAACTCTTCCGAAAGTATTTCCCATTCATTTGATATAAATATTTATAAAAAACTAACCTTTTTTCCTGCCCTTAGGAGTGATTTAAAACAGTAACATTTTCACAAATGTCAATTTTTTCAACTTAACTTTAAAAATGGCTGCGATAGTTAAAAACATGCTATTTTTATGTTAAATTTCTCGATTTTGTATTTTATTTTAAAATACCTGCTAAGAGGAGTACACTGATTTTCATAAATATTATATTAATCTCATTGGCATCTTTTATATGCAAATGGCTGACAAAGTTGAAAAATTTATTTAATATTTAATAAATAAATTTAAATTTGATGAATATTTATATTTATTAATAAATTACACTTTTATATCATTAAAACTTATAATCAGGATATAGAAAAGGAAATAGGAGTTCATTTTGCTTTTTATAATCCACCAATTTCTTAAAATTAAACACTATCTATAGATTTGTATCGAAGCGTTTCTTATGATAGTGGTTTTAATCGCTGTCAGATATCGTCTAAATTTACCCACTCCACGCTGTTACCTTTTTTTTTTAATTCCTTAAATTTTTAATTATTTTTAATTTATAATTCATAATTGTCATAAATATTACATTTTGTAAAAAGTAATGATCTATAATTTATCTTATTAAAAAATATTTAACATCTATATTTTTCATATTGAGATATGTTCTGTAAACATGCTGTTCGAATATTTAAAATCACAATCAATAAATCATTAGTAATAGAAAAGGTCCGAAAATTTATATTACATTTTTGATTATTAGTATTAATATAATTTATTAAATTTAAAATTCATTACGTTATTTCAAATACACTCTATGTAAATAATATGCATAAAACTCGAATGAAAGGATGTGATCAAAAGTTACGGAATTATGTTAGATTTATAGTACGCTTTTATATATGAAATCTATTGTACTAGACCAAAATAAATCAATAGTGTAAAAGAATTCAAAAATAAATAAAATCTAATGCATTGGTAATAAATATATTATAACTAGATATAAATAACAGAGTAACAAAAAAAGTAGGTGCATAAGGTAAAAAGGTATAAACAAATGCGTTCTCTTACAAGAATTTGTTATGATTTTAATAGAATACCATGAGCAATCAATTTTCAATTTGATACTTTTTTTTTTTAACCAATTTGTTTATTTCTGTGGCTTATATCTGAAAACTGAAAGATAGAAAAATGGATTTTTGAGAGTTTTCATCATAATTTAATTTTTTCAATAGTATCTATGAGATACTATTAAAATAATTTTACATTTGTAAAATTCACTTAAAATTGACATATTAGCTTTTAGGAAATAATTGTCAAATTATATAAAAAAATTCAGCACAGGGGTATTGAAGCACAGTGGTGATGTGGCATAGTTGGATCAAATATAATGATATCTGACAGTGATTAAAAATAAAAATAAACGCTTCAATGCAAATCTTTAGATAATGTTTAATTTTAAAAAATTGATGGATTATTCCAAAAACTACATGATCTGCTAGTTTCTTATTAATATCTTGATTAAGATAAAATAAGTCGAATGAAAAAGGGATTACTAAAAAATATTATTTTTTTTAAAAATTGTATTGATTCATGCACTTTTTAATAAGTTATAGCATTATAAAGTTAAAAACGTAAAAAATAAAATCAAGAATTTTCACACAAAAATAGCATTTGGTAGTCATTTTCACCGTGAAGACAAAATAAAATCCGAAGTTTTTTTTTTCCATGATAAAGTATATTACATTAGCTTTAATTTAAAATATATATAAAAGTGTCAGACTTTCCGGAACATTTTTAAAAATCAAGTTGAAAAAGTAAATTTTTTTGAAAAAGTTGTCATTTTAATTCCCCCTATATGGGTAGGTAAAGGGTCAGATTTATAAAAAAAATATACCAAATTATAGGTAAAGACATCAAGCATCTATTTTTAAAAAAGTTATGGCAGTTTAAAAAAAAAAAAATTTTGAAATTTTCGAAAATTAGCAATTTTTAAATTTGTAACTTTTTTGGAGATTTCCCCTACTTACGGGGAACGAGGAAAATTTTTTCAATTTTTGAGGGTAATGTCTAAGACTAGATACGATTTGTGATCTTTTGACGTAACGTTGAAAGAAATCCGTTCGGTGAGAGCTGAAAAAAGTGGTAACAGACACAAAAAAAAAAAGAACACATCATAGTAAACCAATACTTTCTTAGCTTCGCATCGAGGCTAAAATTAAATATTTGATGTGGTGATATTTAAAAATCATTAGAAAATCTTATTATATAATAAAATATTGAAAAATTAGTCAATGCTGGAAAAATTACTTAACAACATACGATTTTCAATTTTTTTTTTTAATGAAAGAGTTTGACGACGTTATTCCAGGGAAATTATTCGCGAAAATGAGAATATTTATTTTAGCACATCGTGAGAATTTAAAAACTTTATTAAAAACACTCATTGCCGTCAGCGTTTTTCGATTTAAATTCTGAAATTTTTGCTAGACCTACCCATTTAAAAGATACCCTGATAAATTCATTGAAATTTGTCTATTTTTGACCAAGTTCTGATGTTAAAATTAAAATATTGTGATGGCCCTAGTCGAAAAATCTAAACTTTATACCCTATACATTTCATTATTTACTGTTTTTGAATTTTACTCATTTTAATAATAAATGTCTACTATACTTCTGTTAAACTGCTTTTGAAGTAATACTTTTCCTGCAAAACAATTATCGTTCTTCTACTGGAATCCTACCGTAGGTGCATGAGGTCCTCAGGGCATTGGGTCTTGGCGTAGCCCCAGCTAGTCGAAGCCTAATGATAACAAAATAAAACTTTATAAAATGTAGATTATATTTTTATTTTAATTATCAATAATTGTTCAACCTAAAAAACATGTATGAGGTTTTGGGCTTTAAAAATTAAATCTATATAAAAATCCAACAAAATCTTAACAAAAATGTTGTATTTAAAGAATTGAATTGAATTATTTGTTCTTTTTTTGTAAACTGCTGTTTTTAACACACTTTTGAAATGCAAATATATGAAGTAATTTAAGTTTTAGCATAGTTTTGGTTAACTTAAAAATACTTTAAAGTGGTAATAAAAACAGTATTGCGATAGATTAAAAACACGAGAATAAAAGCTTTTACATATATTTTTTTAAGTATAACGATAATATTAATAACTTTGATAAGAAATTTAAACCAAGAGGTTTTCGTCTTACTAATAACAAAATAAAAAAAAGTTTAACTTATTTTATTGAACAGAGTAATTATGCAAAACAATGATTCAAAATGTAATATTTTTATTTGGTCAAGGTGCAGTGTTTAAATTAATTATTGGGTTTGATTTTGGACAAAAATCATTCGCAGTAAATTGGATCGATTTTGACGTGTCAAATTTTTGTATTTTGTTCTGTTAGTTAGAAGAGCATATCATAGATTTTCAAATTAATTATTTAAATTATAAATTTTAAATCTAAATCAAATAGTGTTTTGGTATACGTTGCTCCTAATTTACAATTTTATATAATTTTATCAATATTATTATTATTATAAATGTATTTTTTATGAATTGGAAAAAATTAAATAAAGTCCAAAAATATCTATTATTTTTAATATAAATTTAAAGAAAATCAAAATACTTTGTGTAAATTGTTAAACCACTACTGTAACCCCCTCTTGATAGTTCTTCTATTGTTAACAGTATTTACTGACAAAACAAATGGTTTTTCATTAAAAAATAACTTACTATATTTAAATATTCTTGATTAAAATAGTTTTCCTCTATATATAAACAGCATATTTAGTTTTCGAAAAAATTGATTATTTTAATAAGATTACTTTTTGAAACTTTTTTTGCAGTTTTGCTTAACCGTTTTTTTAAGCATATTTCATAACTATCATAATCTAACTGTTACAGTATTTATGTGTCTACTAAAAAGTTTAAACTTTATCTTTTGAAGGTTTTATTTTTCTTTTAAAGAAAATTCTTGTAATTTTAAGCAATTTATGATCGTAAACATTATAGAGATTCGTATCGTTTGTAATAAGACACGGTTTCTTGTTGAATTACTACACATTAAATTATACTCCAAAGACTGAAATTGTGTAGTTATCAAGGACTACCAATCTTTTTATAGTAACCATTACATACTCAATAAGTACGCTTTAAATTAAATCGTATCCATTATATAAACTTAGGATAAATTAATTTTATTAATAAATAAAAAAGGAAAATGATTATAAAAATGCACATTTTTATTTATATATAGTTTTGAACAATATAACTTAAACAATAATTAGGTTGGTTTGGTTAAAATAAAAATGTTATTATAATTTAACTAATGTATCCGCTTACATTAATTGTAATTATGATAAATAATAGAATACAATACTTCGTTTATTGTGCCTTATTATAAGGAAAAATGATATTTTTTTGCTTTAACTGATAGTTTGTAGCAAACAAGATTTGGTTCTAAACACTTTGTAGAAATGAGGTGTGAAAACAGAAGGGTAGATTGAACATGTGATTGGCCTAGGGAGTGGTACGGGTTTGTACATAAATTACAACATTAGAGAAGTTGGTCTCTGTGAAAACGAGATACGTCGTTTTACATAGTCAAAAGGGGATAGGCTCAGAGGGTTAAGGGTGAAGAAGTGAGGTGTTGAAATTAATATGGAGCATCAAAATTTAGCGTCTTTAAAGTATAGTAAACTTTGTACAAGTAGCAGAGAGTAGCAACAGTGGCGGCGATGTTCATTAACGTTCGCACTGGGAATAATATAGTACCTCTTTACTCTATTGTAAATTTGCATTGTAAATCTCAAAATATTTTGTCATAGATGTGTAATTGACCACTCCCATCTTAAGTCTCGTGAGATGATTTAGGCCAATTAAATTTGGAAGTTTCTTTTTCAAACCTATTTAGTTTATAATTTATGAATAAATAAAATTATTTTTATTTATCTTCCTTAGTTCTTATTTTAGCATATTAAAAATGAGTTTACACAAAATTAAAAATAAACACAAGGTAAAATTATTTATTGTTGTGATAAAAAGCTTACAAAATTCAAATTGCTCCGGTAAATTGGTTAGGAGTCTACTCAATGTGATTTAAAACCAGAATTCGCAGTTTTAAATATTTTATTTTTAAACTATTGTTTTAATCTTGTTTAAAACATTAAAAAATAATAAATTTCTATTTCATTATAATTTAAATTATCTTTTTCTCAATTTTTTTTTAATTCTTACGACTCATTAAATTATATCTGAGATAATAAATCATGAAAAATCAGTTAGGGCTGATATATATAATGAATAGGACCTAGAAGTTAAATATTAAAAAAAAAGTAACAATTAAAAGTTACAAAAAAAAATCCTTACAATTTTTTGATTAAAATAATTTTTAAATACGAATAAATAAATTTTTTTAAATTACCTATTAAATAATAATAAGATCAAGCGTAAACATGATTTAAAAAAAAAAAATGGCAAAAATTCACAAAAAAAAAAATTAATTTTGAATTTCATTTGCAAACTTTATAAAATAAATATATGTATACTAAGTGCATTTTTCGTTCAATAATAAACAAAGCCAATTTTATAGATTTTTGAGCATTTATTATAACATAGATTAACTTAATATTTTAAACAGTTTGATTAACTTTTAGAAAGTAACAAATGTATTTAAGTTGTTCATCAAATATTTTCAATTAACATAAATTAAATTAATTAAAATAAAATATTATTTTAAATAAACGTATTTTAAAGATTATTAAACAACAGACAATTTATTCTTATTAAAATAAAATCAACATAAAAATGTCATTAAAAACTGTTATTCTGTTTAAAAAGAAAAAAAATTCGTTTTTGCGAATCCTGAAAATATTCTTAGTATTATTCCAACAGGGAGAACAAGATAACACGTACTTGTATATTCAATTAACAAATATATTTTGAACATTTTTCATAATAATTGTGTACAAAATACACCGATCATTTTTTGGTTATTACGCATATTATGATGCTTATAACTACTATAAAGGTAGAAATTAAGACAAAATAATTATGCCACATAAACGAACTGTTAAGCAAATATAGCCATAAAAAAGAAACATTAAATTTTCTAAATTATTATGTTATTAGATATTTATACATTATTATTTAATCAAATCATAAAATAAGAAAAGTATTATATCAAAAGGCTTATTTACTAATAGAATTAAATTACTTTATAACTATAAAGAATTTTTTAGCAATGTAATGCACTACTTTAACTTTGTTGCGAAGTTGAGAAGGATTATTTTTACTATTATTTATTTTTTCTGTTATTTCCTTGTCATGTATATCTACTAAACTACTTTGATTTATAGCACAATGAACTTAACAATTACAATTTTCCATAAATTAGTCATCAAATTAAAAAATAACAATATGCAAAAAGTCTTATTTTATGTATCATATAATATTTTTTACGTACTTTTTTTTCTCGAATGTTAACTGTTGTACTATTTTATTAAAAGTATACGAAGTACCATTTAATTAAAAATTAACTCTATTTTCCAAAGTATTTTATACTACACCAATAAGTCCATTGTAACGGAGTAGTGAATTTTTGTTCACGGCTTTTGACGCTTTTATTGGTAATCGTAATTTTTAACTGAAAAACATATAAGCAATTTTTGATTGGATTAAAAGTCATATAGTTTTAATTATTAAGAGAAAACACACTTTATTTATTCATTAAATTTGGTCAAAATACTTAATTATAAAAAATTAACGATTTTGTATTAAGGACGCTGAATTAACATCAAATTAACGAGCTGTATTTAAAATTTTGAAAAAATATATATATAATTTTGGCCATTAAGTTTTGTAGGAACTTCATATAGTGATAGCAAACGTTCTTTTGTCGCACAAAATTATAAAAATATTATAAAAATTATAAAGTTTAAAATTGAAATTATATTAAAAATATTTTTTAGTTTTAAATTAATATTTTTAATATAATTTGAATTGTTTAATAATATTATATTACCCACAAGTGATCAATTTTTAGTACATAATTAAAAAACTTTTTTTCATCTTAAACAATTTTTAAAAGGGCATATATTTAAAAAAAAAATTATATATAATAATCATAACACAATAAATAAAGATACAAACAGTTTTTGAATTAAAATAAATACTACAGTAATAAAATTACTTTTCTTAACATAAATAGTTATATTTTTAATGTCATCAAAAAAAATTTTTTTGTTGAGAAAATTAAAGGAAAGGATAAAGTTAAGATTTATTGATTATGGTTTGTAAATGTGAAGCTAATTGTCTGAAATTACAAACATCTTTATTTTTAGCTTCATAAGCTTCTTCTAAGAGTTGTCCGGTTGTAAGTAATTACTATTTAGCAAAGATTGTTCCATTAATCATAATTTTGTGAACTGAGGGTAGCATGTAATAACAAGGGTAAAGTTGATAATAAAATTCAACTATTAGTACAAAATTGTTATAAAGTATTATAATTTATATCAAATTCACTCGCTAATAAATTAGAAATAATTACAATGCGATTTATTTAATACTTATTTGTTTACCTAAGTTATTTTAGAAGCTAAATGAGGATCAATAAAAAATCTTTTGACTTTATTCCCATCATTATTGTTATCAAACCCTTGATTTAGAAAATCGAATATTAATTCAACCAGTTTTCAATATTCTTCTTGAATTTTTTTTTAGAGTTATTCGTAGAAAGACAATAGTAGGGCAAATATGTAACTAATTTAACCAAAATATTAATCTGTATACTTTATTACATTACAACTTTATTAAATGTTTGTATAACTTAATGAAAAAGTATGTTAACAAGAAAGAAAAAAACTGATATGTAATTTCAGTGTTCAATGTAATTTTATGTAATTTTCATGAGTTATTATACCTAACTTAGGTTCAATATTTAA